AACTTAAAAAGCTCGATTGGTCGATAGATGTATCCTGGAGTATATTTTACAAAGCACGGAAAGTTGTCAAAAATAATTTACAGTACACGAATCTGAGCACATGCTAAATCATAAAAACGGGCTTCAATAATGACTTTCGGACACTTTTTGTAACCATTGTTTTTATTTGGAAGTCTAAAAGACGAAAGCAGTTATTACTATCGTAAAAAGTACATTACACCTATTATTTAATTACAAAATATTACTTTATTGTTGTTTTTATTGCCGGGCTATGGTGTTTTATTGCTAATGCAATTCTCAAAGAGTGTGTAAAGTAAGAACAATTTGTATTTATTTATTATTTTGCTCTGAGCATCGTAAAATTATGAGTTTGATGAAAGCGCGTGTCTATGCCCGTGTTCATTTTTAAACATTATCATGTTTTGAAGACAAAACTTGACTACAGCGCTCTTGATACAAGGGAATTATAACTATATTTGCTATTTCTTCTTTCTAATGTTTAATACTTGTAAAAGTATTCATCTGACATTGTGGGTTACCTATAATGCGAAGAGATGGCGCTGCCTTGCTATTAAGAATGGCTAGAAGAATTTCGACGCGTGAGGACCGCGGTAGCATAATTGGTCAGTGCATTCGCCCGGATTGCGAAAGGTGCGGGTTCGAGTCCCGGCTGCTGCCTGGTCCACGTGGAATTTTTTCTAGTTATATTTTCTTTAGATTTAAACATCAAGCAGTTACATGCTTTAAAAATAATAAAAATTATAAGGGTATAATGCATAAATAACTGAGGGAACAAGAAAAATGCTAAGCAAATTTAAAAAAAATTTGGCACGGACCACACATCTGAAGTGAAACTTCTATTCTGAAATAACCTAACCTTAGGCGGTGCATAAGACGTTGGGGATATTTTTTTAGTGTGTATGGTATGCTGTTGGTCGCAGTTGACCTTTACAGTGTCACCGGGCTTGGGGACGGCGAGATCCTAAGAGGACCTCAAGCCGAGAATTGGCGAGTGCTTATAGAGGTATTCGAGGCGGATGGCATCTCTCCAAGGGGGAAAAGGGGGAAGTTTTCTCTCCGTCTGGAGCCTCTAGACCACTCGAACCTGACGGGGCATAGGGGAATGGCGTAGCGCACGCATCACTCATATAATATATATATATATATATATTGTCGCGTGTGACGCTCGTAGCGTTTCAGCCTTCGCCGAGTTATTCTCCAACTATCATGCTCGTTGCGAAGAGCTGCGCACGCATCTCACCCACCCACACACACACACACACACACACACACACACACACACACACACATGATCATGTGACGCTCGTGAGGCATTTCCGTTTCATTTTTTCCATTGGATTTTGCCATATACACCCCGTTGGGAAAGAAGTTTCACTTCGAAAATCTTTACTTTTGCTGATTGAAAAAATAAGGAATCTTTATTTTTTGGTAAGAAATACTTATCAGTTCCATTTCGAATTGTGTGTTGTTTTATATGTTAAAGGGGCTGCGAACAAGCACATGGCCTGCCTGATTGTAAGCGGCTACCGTAACTGCTGCAATGCTGGCAATACCAAATTAATCATCATCATCAGCCTATTAAGTCCCCACTGCTGGGGCATAGGCCTTTCCTATGGATGGAATAGGGAGATTGACCCACCACGCGGGCCCAGTGCGGATTGGCGGGTGCTAACGACTGCAGATGCAGCCGGGACCAACGGCTTAACGTGCCTTCCGAAGCACGGAGGAATGTGAGATAAAAGATTTTTGGTCACCCATCCAATGACCGACCACTTCGAAAGTAGCTTAACTTCAACGATCGCAGCCGAACGCGCTAACTACCTGCGCCAACTGCAGGCAAAACATAAATTAATGTTGCTGCCTTGCAGCTTAAGAATGGCTAGAGGAATTTCGACGCGGTCCGTGAGGGCCGCGGTAGCATAATTGGTCAGTGCATTCGCCCGGATTGCGAAGGGTGCGGGTTCGAGTCCCGTCTGCTGCCTGGTCCGCGTGGAATTTTTTCTAGTTATATTTTCTTTAGATTTCAACATCAAGCAGTTACATACTAAAAAAAATATATAACTATTAATTAACATTACTACTTTAGGGAACTAAAATTGTTTCTGCTATTTCATAAATGAAATATTAATTGTAATGCTATGCTATATAATTTTAAACACTTACCTACTTAAAATGTGAAAATTTGGTTGTTTGTTACCTACTCATCGCTCAGAACGATTTTGGAAGAAATTTGCCAAATTAAGAAAAAGATTTTTTTAGAAACAAGCTATCTAAAAAACCTATGTTTCTTTGGATTGTGCACTTTAATTAAAAAGAATATTGATTTATTTTCTTTTTCAACACGAAAATTTTTCACGAGTTTTAACTTTTTTTCGTTTTTTTTTCTTATAAGAAGACTATGGCAATTCCATGTTATTAAGTAATAATATAACTGTAATAACTTAAAATACAATTTATAAACGGATTTTACTTTATTACAGATCGAATTTCCTTTTTTAATTGAGAAAAAGTAAGACAGGGCTCTGAACTTTCTACATTTTAAGTTTGTTGAAGCTTGTTTACTTCAACGATGCATAGATGGCGTTACGTGTACTTCTGCTCCCGAAAATGACTTCGTGAGACTCGGTTCGTAATATAGCAAAATTGTAATATGTTTTATTTTGTTACTCGTAAATAACAAGATATTGTATGAATCAAAATTAACATTATATGAAATTAAAATCGTGAACCAACTAAATTGGTATTTGGAATTGGTAGTACCTATGAATAACAGCGTAACAGACGAGTAAAACGAAATGTCATTAAAGTCAAAATAATTGAAGACTGCTTGAACAATTCTCATTAATTGTAATCATTATCATTATCACTTTATTAATGTCCCCACTGCTGGGGCACAGGCCTTCCCAGGAATAGGGAGATAGGGCCATGATCCACCACGCGGGCCCAGTGCGGATTGGCGGGTGCTAACGACTGTAGATGCAGCCGGGACCAACGGCTTAACGTGCCTTTCGAAGCACGGAGGATCTCGAGATAGAAGATTTTTGGTCACCCATCCAATGACCGACCACTGTGAAAGTTGCTTAATTTCAACGATCGCAGACGAACGCGCTAACCACCTGCGCCATCGAGCTCCTCCTATCTATAAATAAATAAATAATAAGTAAATTTATAGTTCCAACACTCACACCAATTAGCCTAGCCCCAAAGTAAGCACATATACTGTACATATATAAGTGTATTTATATAGAAATACATATTTAACATCCATGACTGTAGTACAAACGATCGTATTCATCTAGCAAACTTCTGCCCCCACCGGGATTCGAACCCGGGACCTCTCGAGTCGGCGACACCATGAAACCCGGTGTACAAACCACTCGGCCACGGAGGTCGTCTATATCGAGTCTATGAGACAAACTGCAGGCAAAACATAAATTAATATTACTACTTTAGAGAATTAAAATTGTTTCTGCTATTTCATAAATGAAATATTAATTGAAATGCTGCTAGCTAAGGCCCCAAGCCTTTTTCATCTATTGGCTGTCATTTGGGATTTTTTCCGTTACGATAATAATGGAGAGAGCATATCGTGATCATGAGTATCCAAATAATTGCAGTATATGAAAAGTTCATGTCTATGTTTCGTTTAGTTTCATTGGATGGGTGACCAAAAATTTACTATCTCGAGCTCCTCCGTGCTTCGGAAGGCACGTTAAACCGTTGGCCCCGGCTGCATCTACAGTCGTTAGTACCTACCAATCCGCACTGGGCCCGCGTGGTGGGTCATGGCCCAATCTCCCTATTCCGTCCATAAGGAAGGCCTGTGCCCCAGCAGTGGGGACATTAAATAGGCTGTTGATGAATAATGATGTTTTTCTTTGATTTTCAGTAGTTTCAATCAATCAGTGTGCATTACCTTAAAAACGAAAATAATAAATAAAAAATGTTTGTAAGTAGTATAAAAAAAAAACCTTAAAATTTCTTCAAAACATTGTGTAGTTATATTTTAGTTACTTACATACAATATTGTTGGACAATAAATGAAATAATTAAAATGAATTTACGATTACCTATTAAACTCGACAACACAGGGGAGTTCTTTTCTCCGACAATGGACAGCCATAGCTAAATAATATTTCACTATTATTAAGAATGAAGAAATAATCATTTTACAGAGCGCCGTAACATTTTCTACGAAGACATTATATTTCTAAAATGCATTGCGAGACAATACGAAGTGGGGGATCGGAAATTTCGACTTTAGGCTCGAAGTGTGAAAGGCTACAATAGTTTGTTTGGGAAGTAGTGGTTTTATGGGGATAAATGCCGGTTTTATTGCCGTAGCCAATACGTCACGGTGTCGTCCCGTTACGGGGACGCATTGTTTTAGTACCCACAAACTATTTGTTACAATAGACAAAGTACAAAAGAACAATGATGGCTGTTATTCTGTAGGCGCTACAGGGCTCTCTTTATTGCCTACCTTCTCGAAGCTATAAAGGAGAGTCGACTCTATCTTTCGTAGTTTTAAAAATTTCAAAGTTTTTTCGAACGATTACTAAAGTTAGAATAAATGAATGAATTTTAAGCATCAAATGTTACAACACGCAAAATACTTATTTGCGTGTTGTAACATTTAACATTTGCTTAACATTCTTTAGATGAATTAATCAGTGAATATAAGTATATTTTTTATTATTTCCTAATTAAGAAACTTGAGTATTACTTTTTTTTTAATAAAATGATGACAGTATCTAAATACATGATATTAAAAAAGTAACGAACGGTAATTTGTTTTTACATTGCGTCATAAGTTGGTAACAGAGCAACCGAAAATAGAATCTGCAGTTATAAAGAAGAAATTTGCCAAACCGTAGCGAGATGCTAAGCATGTTGAAGGTTTATTACAATAGTTACATTGCGCATAGAGTCGGGGTACGCGGTGTGGTGCCCAAACAGCTGTAGCCGTGCCGTACGACGGGGCGACCGGTGCGACAGGGACGGACGAACTAACCCTGTGTACGATCGAGGGAGACAGCGATACAGGCAGAGGAGGGGCGCAGGCTTCACATGCCTCAGTGTGATTGGTGGGTGCACGCCGCCCCAAGCCGCGCCCCCCGCGCGCCGAGTCCCAGACGATCACCATTCTGACTCGTCAGTCCATCGCTCGACATCGACGCGACACAATCACCTCTTCGTCTGTGCTATTTCACCGCATTGTGCCATATAACACCACAGAGTTAATGCTCTAATAGAACTTTCGGACAGTCGGTTTATTTTCAAAACGATCGCCATGTCGACATTAAGTCATCATCCGTACGCCTTTTCAATGCACCCGGGCATGCTGCCGGAGTATCCGAGTGCGCCGCAACCTTTGCCAGCGTCTTCGCCGCAGTCCGAAGGTCACATCAAGAGGCCGATGAACGCCTTCATGGTGTGGTCGAGACTGCAGAGGCGCCAGATCGCAAAGGACAACCCGAAGATGCACAACTCCGAAATCTCCAAAAGACTGGGAGCCGAGTGGAAGCTGCTGTCGGAAATGCAGAAGCGTCCGTTCATCGATGAGGCGAAACGTTTGCGAGCTCTGCATATGAAGGAGCATCCCGATTACAAGTACAGACCGCGCAGGAAGCCGAAGCCGCCGACGCCAGGAGGTGCCCCCGGCGCAGGAGCGTTCCCTAGCTTCCCGCTTCCATACTTCGCGGGACCAGCACCAACTTGCAGTCCCCTGGACGGGTTGCCGTACCCGGCTGTGCCCCCGTATTTCCCACACCAGTTGGACCACCTGCAGTTCTCGAAGTTGATGGCGCCGACGGCGGAGAAGATGCCGACGGTGTCGTCGTCAGCCGCCGCGGTGGTGTCATCGTTCTACTCGTCCTTGTACACATCGCCGGCGGCTCCCCCGAAGCCGTTCTCCTCGCCGCTGTTCCACCAGTACGGTGCAGCCCCCTCGTCACCGGTCTCCCCGGCGACACCCACGCAGCACAGCCCTCACGATGACCAGCTGAGGCGGCCCGTCTCCGTCATATATTGAAGACCAACCTGCCTTCCTTGAAGGACACCAATCTTTCGAGGTTCGGCATCTTGGAAGTTGAAGTGTTGAGGACAGTGAATCGTACGGACCTTATATTTATTGATCATTATAGGTATAGTAAATGGAGTGCGTCTCATATCAAGTGGCCTGTAAATAGTTTCGAGAATAGGCCTTAGGGCGGCGGATCATTGAGTTTCAACTGTGATTTTTTGTTTTCGATGCATCTTTATTATATTTAAGGTAATGTAGCGCCGGTTCGTTAGCTATTTAAAGTGAGATTGGTACCAAAAAGAGATTATTTTTTATAGGTGTCAGGACATTTAGCCGAGTAGTTATGAGTTGTAATGTGACTTCGGTTTTTGTTTCTCTTGTCACTCGATCAGTTTGTTGAGTTTTCATCATTTCCTTGTCGCGGCTCTGTGGACAGTCTCGGCCGGGATAATGGTAGTAGCGTTGTAATTTATTTATTGACTCCTGTGTAGATGTACCTTAATATTTGTAAATTAGTTATTTAAATTGTAAGTTTATTAGTACATTCAAATGTATATATTAGTGTTTAAATCTGAATCGATGTCAGTACCAACGATGTATTATAATAGTATTTGAAATGAAATCTTTGTTAATGCCATAAAAATAAACACTAAATTGTTTTTATTTTAATATTGGTTTTCTTTTACGGTGACCTGATTCATTTTAAAGTTTTACAAATACATATAAGAACAATACGTTTAACTCGTGGTTTAAGTTACATATAAATTACAAGCAGATCTAACTAAGCTTCAACTATAAATAATCTTGAATTCCTAAACAAAATCTTTATTTAAAAAATATTAATGATTTAGGAAAGGATAAATAGCGACTCTTATTTTCTTTAGAATATCGAAATATCTTTGTAGTTTAGATATATTTCATATCTTTCATTTAAAGTATCTGCGTTACATTATGATATTTACATATCCTTCATTAAAATCAATAAACGAATTTTCAATATTGATAATTTAAACTTTAGGAAGTAGATATCACTTTAACACCTTTTTGCCGCGCCATACAAAATACAAAATTAGTCTTATTTAAAAACCTCGTTTAATTAAGTATAATATTTTGATGATAGTTAGTAAGTAAAAGCTATATTTAGCAACCATAACTGAAGGGCCATTTCAGTAAAATAAAATCTAACTTTCGATTTCGGTAGCTGCCATTTTTGACATTAGTTTGATATGCATTACACCATTACACGGCAAAACATTGCTACGTCTGTAGAAGCGGCCAGTATTAGATATTTGACATTTATTAGAAATACGAATATATACGATTGCATCTTACAGAATACCTATGCGATTATTAAAATCATAACTTATCAATTAGCGTCTATGGCTCAGTGGTACAAAGCACGCCTGCTAAGCTAGCGGCCAGGGTTAGATTTTCAGCCAAGGAAGCACATTTTTTTTGCACCCGGCAAACTTCGTGTCGCCCAAAAGTGATAATTTGTAATAAAATAATATTGCGACTATGAATTGAGTACACCTCAATTCCTCCTCATTCATAGCTATCCTATCTTTCAAGTTGGATTAAACTGCACACGGTGTGCAAATTTGATTAAAATCGTTGACGTAGTTTAGAAGTCCATCCCGGACAAACAACGTGATGCGTAATTTATATATAATATAATTTATATATATTATGTACCTATTAAGATATAATCAGTTTCACATGCGTCGTGGTTACATAAACCACCCCATTTTTTATTAATTTCACACCTTTACGATTGAAGAATACGTATCACTGTACATTTAGGTATTTTTAGATTTATTATAATTATTATGTAATTACAATTATTATCGGCAGTAGACAGGCAGTTCGCGTTTTTTTTTGTTTTCTTTCAAGAACTCAATAGATTAAAAAAAAACAATCAATACAAATTAGACAGTTGAAAAAGTACTTTAAAAGATGCAGGAAAAGTTTTTGTCTGCAAATAAATATGAATTTATTAAAAATATAACTTTACAGCATTGGAGTTAATATTTGACAATATTCTGGCTGATGCACTTTGTATATTTTTAGCGACCTCTTTTCACCGTTGCAATGCTGAGATACGCATAGCATAATCAGTCTTTGAATTTGTAAGTTCGGTTAGAATAATGTCTTAATTTCAAAAAGTGCACAAAGCATTCAACTGATCTTTGGATTTTCCGTTTTTTTAGAAGTGTCGCTATTGCGGGGCATTTTTTTATTTAATGACAAAAATTAATTAATTAATGATTAAAATCACACATCGAAAATCACCGATATTTTCTTTAGATATTTAGTTTCGTAGGCAAAAGAAAGTTAATAGCTAAATCATACAGCCAAGTTTTTTTTTGTTAAATAATCCAAGTAAAGTCGCTCTGAGTATCGAATTTTATAAATATTTATCAAAACTACTTGGACCAAGGAAGTTATTATGCCTTTAACAACCTTGTTTTTTTTAACTATGATAGAAGTTTTAGTTGACATTTCAAATTTAAATGTCTTTATTAGCCAAGGGAACTTCCATACAGCTTAAGTTTCTTTTCATTTAATAGCTTACTTAAATTGATAATATTTGACATACAAAACTAGATCCAGATAAATTAATTCAATGAAGGGATTTTTACCATGTACCTTGTTTTTGATGACAAAATGTATTTCATATGTGCAAAAACCACAGAAATCAGAAAAAGTGTCTTTCCGCGATCTGATACTGTGAGTATTGTGTTTCGGGAACAGGTGCGAGTGAATAGTGAGAATGTGACCAGTGGTAGGGAGTGCAATAAAAGACTACGTCACAGGGTATAGTGATATGTCTGCCAATAACATCTACCCGCAATTACTTCAGTTACTCCGTGATCATGACGCTTGCAACAGTGCCGAAATATCGGAGACTCATAAAAAACAAGGTACATGGTAACAATCCCGTTCATAGCTATAATGTTTGTGAACCGTGAAATTTAAAAATAATACATGTATATCATACAATGAACTTCTTGTTTTTTTGATAAATAACATTCAATTTTATTATCTTAATAAGGGAAAACTCAACTCAACATACAATTTAAAAAAAGAAAGTCGTCTTCTTAGAAAAACAGTAGATTCATGTAAAAAACAGAAGAACAGGAGAAATTTCAGAAAAACGGGAGATCTGAAAAATCGTTAGACCTGGCAACCCTGATGACTAAGATACACTGTTGCCAAATTTAAGTTTAGGTTTAGAGAGTCATGTCAGAATCGAGACCAATATCTTATTAAATCATGACATATTTGAGTGAAGAATACTTTTTTGCTCCTCTACCGATTAAATTACCTACACTTTATATATTATTTTAAACCTATGTTGTCTTTGCGTGTGTTATCCTTTCAGAAGAACAATGATAAAAGCTCAATGAAGAAGGATTATTCGGATAAAATATTAAATTTTAATTTGTATAAATTGCGAGCAATCTCTCTCATATCGTGTCTCTCTCACTACGGGTTATTGGCGAAATTTCTGTGTAAAACGGAAACAGCCACAGAACAAACAAAAAAGCAGTTAAATGAAATGTAATATTTGATACAAAATATTAGCAGAATGTAAGGATGGGTAACATTTATTTTACAATAAATATACTTAATTAATTCAAATACATTACATACTATTTAGAAAGCGGTTGTAGAAATTCATGCCGTGGCGTATTAGATATTTAAATTATAGAATATTGATGAATATTTCTCATAATAATTTCGGTTGGGAATCGTAACCGTAGGCCTGATTTTTTATTAACTATAAAAATGTAACGCGACGCTCTAAAGATGAAGATGAACGAAAAATTTACTTTAATAATAAATAAACTCGGTGTGCAACCAAAAGATGGCGCTAGTCTACTCACGTCACTATCACAATGACATATAACCAGCTATTTAAAAGAAAACATGGTAGTGTCATATTGTACTACTAACGTGGTTCAAATAGTTGATTTATTGTAATTATCTTGATTACTTATATCTATATTATGAGAAAGATAGTTAATTGAAGACACAACCCTTTGCAAGAGATTTTGTTTTCCATGTTTCAATCAAATGTTTGATAAAACACAAAATAAATGTATTTTGCTGACTCAGGGACTTAGGTGGCTTTTCTTTTAATTCTTTTTGTTTATAAATATTACCTTAAATGTGTTGATTAGGCTTGTGAATTTCTTTCATCGTAATAGGTAGATATATCGTATATAGTAAACCTATATAGATATATCGGGAGGCCCGTTCGCCTGGCGCTCTGTCAGCCATGACGATTGTTAGCGCCGAACACGGTTTTCGGTTTAATAATCATGGTCGCTCTCGTCGGGGGCGTTTTTCAATACAATTGTTTTATTTCATGCCGTTCTTTGCTATTCAGTTGGAGCCACGAAAAGAGCGGGTTGTTATTGCTTTATTTTTTAATTATCTTTTTTCTCACACCTCTGTACAGCGAGTGGCAAAGGAATCATTAGTCAATCAAATCATAATCAAGTATTGTTCGATCAATCGACAAGTCTCAGTATTTCCGAGATAAAAAGTATTCCGTGTCTCAATATGGGTCATTAACTGTATGCGTACCAAGTTTTATCCAAATCCGTTTATTAGTTTTTGCGTGATTCAGTAAAAAAACATACATCTATTTATATTAGTAGGATAACATCTGTTTCTAAGAACTGTATCCTAAGCACGAACCGCGCTTAGCGAGTGCGAAATGTCAATGACAAATTTTGTATGGAAACTTGAACAACAGCGCCATAATGGGCATAACGAGAACTAAAAATCAGTACATGTTTGACACTGACATTACGCACTCGCAAACTATTCGAATTCGATATTGGTTCGTGATAATGGTACAGATTACCCAACCTTTTACTAGAGATTGATTATTGAAACTGGTTGTTTACTAAGGGAGCAAAAGTGCGAATGGCTGCTGTGGTACTTTTCTTTGCGCCTCGACCCTACTCGCAGTACATACATATTGCAGGTTGTAGTCATTCAATACAGTATATTATTTACGGGAATTATTTCTTAGTTAGATTTTTTCATTTATCAATGACGATAGGTACCTACACACATTTGTTGTATTTGGTTAATAAAATATAAACTTTCTTATTATTACTAAACCTCCTCTGATCACAATATTTCGAGCACGTTAAGTCCAGTAATTGCAATGGTACGGAAGTCCGAACCACGCTTGGCCGATTTTTATTCAATTTCTTTTACGCAAATTATTTTTTTTGTATTAAGAGTAACCCGCTTATCTAATGGCCAAACATTTGAAGGAATCTAAAGAGTTTTGAATTAATCATTAGTCCGTCGGGTCATTGTTTTGAGTTGCGATCTATAAGGGATTCGGTGGCCATTGTTCAATTTATGAAGTGGATTTATCTGCTGGAAAGTAAATTAATTTGTCAATTCATTCAAACGTAAACTTTGGCCGCCGAAGAGTCTAACTTTATAATGATATTTTGGCGAGCTGCGTAAATCCCATTTGAGACTTTATGTAAGTTGAAATATAAATAGGAATATAGGTGTAATATCTTTAATTTTAACTTCTGCCTTAAGTTATTGTTAGTGAAGATCATCATTAATCAATGACTATAAAAAAATATGTCATTTAATTTGTACGTTTATAATAATATCCTATTTAT